CTTTCTGCTGACCTATATTGCAAACATCGTTCAAAGTTTAAATCCCATCTCAACTTTTAGTAAGCCTTTCTTCTCCAACAACTCCAAGCCAGAGTGGTTTTTGGATCTTTTTTTTTTGTTATTGTTATTTAAGGCCTATTATTCAGTCAGAACTGGAAACTTTAACACTTAACTCATCTCTAATCATTTCATGTGTGTATTTATGATATCCTCAGATTAACTGTAAATTTCTTATACCCATTTAGCATGGTGCTCAGCTCAAAAACTTTATTCATTGGTTAATAAGTAATAATTTCCTAGTTACACAAGGCCTTTTCACAGAAAAAGTTTCACTGTACCACTTCAGTACCACATTTCATATGGTGACCAACCAATTAGTTAGCAAAACATCATATGAGTTTTTGGCCTAGGGCGAAAGATAAATTGCACCCAATCATATACTCAAGAACAGAGACATGCAGCCATTTGGGGGTGGGCTCTGCAGCTATAAGGTCAAGAGCTGGGGCTGGAGAAGTTTAAGTTTTATGGTGGTGCAGAAACCATGAGTAAATAGAGGAAGCTGGTTGGTGGAGAGCTGGAAATGCAAGAGATGCACAGAGAGAAGCTATGAGAGGTAGAAACTGTCTTTAAAAGTAAGCTTCATTCCTGGCAGCTCCAGTTCCCACAGCAGTTCCTGAGGTTGTGCTGTGCTGAATTTCCTATCCTGGGATTTCCATGCACGTCCCTGTTAGATGCTACATTAACTAGCCCCCTAATCTTGAGGCACCTTGGTTTCTTTCCTTTAGGGACCAAAAGAGCATTAACCCAGACACTCATCACTATGAAACAACTAAAGCAAATGACTCTCACTATTAACCCCATGAAAGCAGAGACCATGTCTGTTTTGCTTAACACTTTCTATCTAGTGACTAAACAAGGTATCTGGCCCTATTAACAGTTCAAAAAATACTTACTGAATAGATTAATTACAGGTATGAAATTTAGCTTAATGAACAATGGATCTGAGGCAGTTATTCCTAATATCCATCTTAAGCATATACAAAAATGGAACATTTGATTCTCTTCCTAGCTTATCTGCCAACCCTCCTACAACCTGTTCCTCTCCATCCTCCCGACCTCAGTAAATGGCATAAATTGCTCAAGGTAAAAATCTATGCATAATCTTTAATTCCTCCTTCCTTCACTTCCCACACCCAACCCATCAGCAATGTATCCTGAACCTCTCTCCTTCTATCCTCACCACCGCTCTAAGTCACAATCATCTGCAGAAGACTAGACTAGTCACCCTGCTTTGACTCCTATCCCTACAAACCCTTTCATTTCATTCAGCAGAAAAATCTAAAATATTTATCAAAGCATACATCTCTTACTTAAAAGTCTGACTTAAAAGTTTATTGGTTTCTATCTGCACATGGAATAATATCCACAATCCTTATGTGGCTTTTTGTAAGGCTCAGTACCATCAGCCCCAGCTACCCTTTTGCTCACTTTGTTGTTAGGACTTTTGGTTCTTTCCTGCTTTAGGGCCTCTGCACTTCCTGGTCCCTATCCCCATCCTCCCTAAGGACAGCACCTTCACAATTTTCAGATCTCTTGTTCTGAAATTTATTTTCTCAAAGACGCCTCTTGTCATCACTCTGTAAAGAACTGCTTCCCCTCTAATCACACAATTGTTACCATTTGGTTTCCTTCATAGCATACTTATCACTATCAGAAATCATTTTGTTTATTGTCTTTTTCTCTCCTCTTTGAGAGTAGCAACTAGAACGATACCTGGCATATAGTAAGCACTCAATAAATATTTTTTGAATAAACAAATTCCTGCATTATCTGTTTAGTTCTTTTAAAAAGCCACATTTATAACATATAAAAACCACCTCCTTGCCATCGTCCCACATTCTTGTAAAAATGGCACACAGTGAAAATATGCCATTGTGAAAGTATGATTAACAAAAGACTACTTAAATCTATGGATACAAGACAGTAACTTTTAGCAGCGTATCAGAATATACTATCATATCTGGTCTATCACCAATCCTAGCTCTTTCTAAACTGTGGGCCAAGATACTTTTTTGAGAAGAAAATCTGATTCTTATTACTTTCCTCTAGAAAGGCGTTTGCTTTTTCTAACTTGAAATTCATTACATTCTCTTCCAGGATTCTAGGCTATTACGTAATTTCTTAAATGTCAATTTACTGAAACCTAGCCCTTAATGTCACATCTTTCTCTCTTTTGTACTATTACAGAACACCTTAAATAGGAACAGAGCTACTATCAGGTGTCATGACACACAGATCCTAAAACTGCAGCATAGGGTCCCATCCAATCCCCCAAAGGGAACACTACAAGTATGGCAGGGAGGGGGCCTACCGGGGAATGGGACTGTACACTGGAATAGGAAGTGAAGCATTACTCCAATGTAGAGGGAAGGCCAAACTTCACAAACGATAATAATCATTGGGCAAATAATATCACCCTCCCTCACTGCCACCTCCCAGGAACAGGAATGAAAATCTCCAAGTTAGAACAGATAAGACTCGTAAAGCCTTATACCAACCACTGGGGACACGAGTACCCATCCTTAGAGAGGTAAGGAGAGGGGGAAAGAAGGTTGTCTTAATCAGAAATACAAGCCAGGCCTTCATTGAAATACAATTTAATATTGTGCTCTCAATTTTTGCTTAGGATTGAAGAACATTTCCACACTTTCTACAAGTCCACAGTGGATGCTTTTGTCCATTGTATTACTCAATGTCCTTTAATGTAAGGAACCAGGCAACATACACTTCCTAGAATTTAGTGCAAGAGCCAAATCTCACTTTTAGATCAAACTTGGAATTTTTCTTCTTATCAAACAATGCAACTCTATGTCACCATGGACTTTTAAAGCTGGAAGAGCCTTCAGGAATCATCTAGGCCAGCATTTTCCAAAGCATGCCTTAGGTATTATAAATAGCATTTTATAAGCAAACAAGTTCTCTCTACAATAATTTTATTGAGATATAAATCATGTTACTTAAACAAGGAGGTCATTAGACTGCGGTGGCTTTAATGCCTTAGCAGCTTACCTAAGCAAACCAAAACCTAAGTCTATGGACAATCCATCACAAACAGCCACGCATGCTTTCTCAAATAAGGCAACCACTTACACTATAGGCAAACAATTCCCTTGCTTTGCTTCTACCTCTTCTCTATCAAAGTCTTTCCCCAGCACTTGTCACTCCCCATTTGAAGCTGCCAGATTTAAGCCTCAAAATTTTAAATTTTTAATATTCCTGTTTTTATATTAACAATAACGAACCACTAAATTCATCCTTTTAAAATGTGCAATTCAACTGTTTTTAGTGTATTTATGGAGTTGTATAACCATTGCCACAAATTTCAGAGCATTTTTTCATTACCCTAAAAAGAAACCCCATACCAATTAGCAGTCATTTCCTCATTCTCCAAACAAGCAAGTTTCTTTACCACAGGAATCCTTGGATCCTATATTGTGAATCTAACATGTTTTGTGACTTCATGAGGAGTGCTATGTCCCAAACCTATTTAAAAGCTAACATTTCAGTGCTTACTATATGCTTGTAAGTGCTACATATGTATTACCTCATTATTTCTCCCAATAAAATCTATGAGAAGGTACTATATATATGTGGCTACTACGGCACAAAAGGACTAAGGTTAAGTAACTTGTCCAAGTATTCCTAACTACTCGACTCTACCTCCCACAGAACCAGCTAATTGTGTAATGAGAAAAGCCAACAAGAATTCTATGGACCATAACTTTGGAAGTGCTTTAGATCAATTTCTTTAACGTAATGAGAAAACCGCGGCCCAGGAAGGTAAACTGATTTAGCCAAGAATACATAGCATTGTCTCTCCTTTGATTTCCATCTAACTGACAGCTTAATTTACTATTTAATCCTAGGTTCCTGACACAATTCTCTCCCTTCTTTGAATACTTCATGGTTTTTAAAAAAATCTTTAATACTGTAAATGACCTTAACACCCTGTTTGGGTTGATTTTGCTCTTTCTAGATGTCTCCCCCTGTAAGCAATGTACCTCTCTGTATGTATAAATCTCAGACATCTTTTAATGTCTAGTGCAGCAAGAGGATCGCTCAACTTTCCTCCCACCCCAGGTACACATCATCTCTCTCTGTGCACCCACAGCCTTTCATCTCCCCTGGTGACTTCTACCTTGAATTCCAGCTGCTTGTGTCCTGTTGTACCCTGCCTCCTAGCCAGAGAGCTCCTGAGGAGCAGAAGTTGGCATCAATTCCTAAAGCCCAGCACGTGGGAGACACTCAATAAGAACTGAACAGTTTCCTAACCGCCCTTAGTTTAATTCCTCTAGAGCAAGAACAAGACTTTCCTCAAGCATGCCAGCCCCTGGAGAGCAGAGTTTACTAATTTTCTTACAAATTTTTTTATCTGTGTTCCGCCAGAGCCCAGCGCTGTCTTGGACACACAGGGAAGAGCAGCAGCTCAGCCATTCTCTTCTGAGTCTAGAACCTGGCAGGCTGCAGGGTCCATCAACGCCGTCGGCCTTTCTAAACTGGGGATCCAGTGCAAGTAACCACCACTGCTCAGGGCGGGCGAAAGCCGGCTGCGACTCGGAAATGCGGTCGAACCCTGGCGACGATCCTGGGGGAAGATCTTTCACCCTCTCCTGACGGAGACCTGAGGCAGGTGAGCTGCCGGGGCGGCGAAGGGGGAACCTGTCCAGAGGGTGACAGAGCCAGGCCTCGAACCCCGGGCGCCGCTCCCAGGTCAGCAGACCTTCGGCGCGGAGAGAGCAAGGGTGGAGAGGAATCGTCGCCCGTCGCGTGCCGGCACGCCTTCCCGCCTGTGGGGACTCCGGCCCCGGGGTCACCGGACGTGGGCCCGGCCGGGGGGGTCTCACGCCCTCGCGCACTCCCGCCCCCTGCCCAGCGCCATCTTGGAGCGCTCAGGCGACTGCTTCGGACCGCCCAGAACCGTTGCCTCAGCACTTACTCACCCGTACTGCCCGGAGCCAGGCCCCCTGTCACCCCCACGGCCCGCGCCACGGCCAGGAGAAGTAGCAGCGCGCCTCGTGGGGAGGCCCGAACGGTCGCCATGTCCGGGCCGGGGGGTCCGGAGCTACGGGATGCTCGGACCCAGCCTGGCCGCCGCCGCACTCGCAAAGGCTCCGCCTCGGGGCGCTGGACCTCTCGTGATTGGCTGCGGCGCGCTCAAGCCCCGCCCCTCGGCCGCGAGTAGGTTCCAAAACCTGCTGGGGGCGGGAACGCTTTCGGGACTGCGGCTCTTTGTTACGGCCCAGCTGTGCGTCCGCTCTTGACGCAGAGTCCCGCAGCCAGCGTTCTCCAAGAGCGGAGCCAGAGGATGTCAGAGCTGGAAGGGCCCTGAGAACGCCTCTACCACCTCCCGTGGTTTGCAGATGGGCTCACTGAGGCTCAGAGAGGAGACCGACCTGTCCACGATTACACTTAAGTTCACCTAAGAACTAGGGCATAATCCAAGGCAGAATCCAAGGCTTCTCCCTTTACGTACCCTCAACGATCCTCTTATATTTCTTTGCCTAGACTTTGCCTTACCCCCAAAGAAGTTGTGCCACTTGGGACAACCCGTCCTCCACTAAAATCTGGGGGCTCTGCCGAAGACATGGTCCCCTGACAAGGGCCTGAGGCACAGATTCACCATTAAAGCTCTTCAGCACAAGCAGCCTCGATGTGTCTTTGATGTACTGTTAAGAACCTATTCCTTTTAGGAAAAGGTGGGGAAGGGGATGCTCGTGTATCTAGACATAGCATTGAATGTCAGGTTGAATGTAAACTTTAAGAGACAATTTGGAAGTGGGTCCCCATTCCACTCCTTACCTGCAAAGTTACCATGGGAAATGTGTGAGAGGGTCCGCTGGCTATCAAAGCACCAGTTCTCTCTCCCTCTCCCTCCCTCTTTCTGGTCCTGAATTTGTACTTATTTGTCTCCCCTCTCTTTAAAAAAAAAAACAGAACTGTAGTTCAAATTTCTAAATCCCTTAATATTAAGTATCCAGTTGTTAACATTTCCCTTATTGTCTCATAATCCTCTTAACAGTATTTCAAGTCCCAGACAAAGTCCCTATATTGAAGTTGGTTTGTATGTTTTTTAAGTCTCTCTGTATCAATTCTCTTAAGTTTACAAAAGGATAACATGAAAACATGAGTAAAACAAAAGGAAAAAGGAAGTTACAATAATCTTTATCAAACATTTGCTCTGATGACAAATCACTTGCTTTAAACTCTCTGAGAGGCAACTCCTCTAGGATAGAATGATGTACAAGTATTTAACATGGTGTCAGGGTCTTAGCAATTGGACTTAATTATTTTTCCAGCTTCATCTCCACACCTTCCCTGTATCCCTGCCACCATCCTTTTGGCAGAACCTCTCACCCTGTTCCAGACCTTTTAGTTGCTTTCACCCCTCTGTCATAACACATATCTCCTCTGCCCAGAATTCCTCAGTTCATGTTTGTTTGATTTTTCAGTGGGTGCCCTAGGGTTTATAGTTTACATTTTAACTTATTACAGTATACTATCTTCTAATAATGACTTATTTCATGTAAAATATAAGGACAGACAACAGTATGCTTCCATTTTACCCTCTCCCATCTTTGGTGCTAATGTCAGACATTTTGCTTCCACACACTATTATTATATTGCTCTAAATAGTCTATTATTAAATAAGAAATTATAAAATGAAAAGTAATATCTTTTATATTTACCCACATGTTAAGCATTTCCGATTCTCCTCATTCTTTCATGTAGATCCAGATTTCACTCAGGTATCTGGAGGAAGAGAACTTTTTGATTAGTAACCTGGCAGGTTTTGTTGATTTTAATTAACTAGGATCCCATATACTGTTTTCTGGAATTTATACATAGTACATTTGTGAAGTTAATCTTTAATGGAAATAATTTTTCTGGGTTTGTTTAGCCTAAACACATTTTATTATCATGAACTGACCTATCTTGATAAGGAAAAAGTCCATTTTGAATTCTTTAAGACTTCATGATATCTGGCTTCATTTGTATATAGTGGGTCCATTTTCTGAAATATTAATTAATATACTTCTATTCCCAGTCATTCCTTCACTAGAACTAAAACATGGGGGAAGGCATTCATTTCTTCAATGATAATTATTAGAGTAGAAAAATAAACAACAAATTCCTAGCTTTTTGGTTTTAAAAATAGACATTTGAAATTCCAGGCAAAAAGAGTGGCTTTAAGAGTTAAAAGCTTCTGAGATATCAGAACCTAGCCTGAAAGGCTGAGGGCATAAAATATCTGTATGAACAACAGACTTGGAAGAATACTCTGATCAGGCAGACACAGTCCCTCCCCTCACCAGTCTGCAACAACTTGGCTCTCTCTGATGGGGGAGGGGGCAAGCTACTGGAGAGAAGGGGTCCCTTGTTGGGAGATGCAGTGGGGTGGGACTTAGAACCCCAGAAAGGCTTAAAAATAGAAGGGAAGATCTGAACCTCCTTCCCTTGGAGCTCTGAGAGGTGACTAGCCTCCTAAAACTCCCCTGCACACTCAGCATGATGTGTGGAGCAGAAATGGCTGCAAGTCTGTCCTATTCCTTGCACCCCACCTAGAGCACCACAGAATAGTGGCTGAATGTTTTCTATGCCCTTCAAGAGGGGGCAGGGCAGGAATTGAGGGAGAGCTCAGAGCCTGAAGGGGCCTCAAGATGAGAACAAGAAGGCTGCAGCTATTATTTGCATGGTCTGTACCACTGGATACCAGATGAGAGAGCAGGTGTCAACAGGGATTGATGATGACAACTGAGGGTCATTTGTCCTCCCTTCTTTCCCAGGCCCAGGTGGTGGGTTTGGCTCTGTATGTTCCTCTCAAAACTAGGGAGGGGGCTAGGGAGAAGCCTTGACTAAGCTGAGATCCAACTGAAGTGACTGAGATTAAATTTTACTCATAAAGCAGGAAGGGCACTTGCCGAGACAGACAGTTGTCCAGCAAAAACTTGTGCAGCCCTTCTAGAAGTTGTTGCTTGGCAGTGATTGCCAAGATAGAGAAAATATTTTCTAACTGCTGTCATGTTCACTATTAATGGAAGAAGTGGGAGTATGGCTTTGGAGAACAAAGGTTCCCTCTGCCTCGCCCCACCGGCCCCTATACTGGGATCTCACAGGAGGATGAGAACCCCTACCCCAAGGCATCCAAAACCAATGTGTTATAAAATTTAGCATTGGGACCCTCAACCTCTGATACTGGTACAATATCCTGCTGGCCACCAGTGAGTCCTCTAAAGACACGGGCCTGTGAGTATGAAATTATCCCTGATATCTATTCTCCTTGCCTGTTTATTTCAGGAATTTTCAAAAGTAAAAAATATTTTTATATTTTAGCAGTGGGTCCTTTTTCTAACAAAATCTTAAGAGTCCTGCTATATAAAATAGAAAAAAGCTGTGTTTTATAGCTGCCTTTATTTAATAGGTTCAAAGATAATGAATGAGAAGTCAAAGATAATAAATGAGATTTTGATGAGTATAAAACTTCGAAATCTGGAATTATGAATGATAATTGCAATCACATCAGTTTCAGCTTCCAGTTAGTTTCTGTATTTTGTTTTGGTTGCCTACTCTAGAGAAAATCCTGATTCATCCAGATGAGTCACAGTTTTGGAAATAGCTCAATTTACAATCTCAGACTTCATGAAGATGGTACCTTGAAAAAGAAGTACTGAAAACTTATGTCTATACAAAAACCTGCACATAGATATTTATAGCAGCTTAATTTGTAACTGCCAAAACTTGGAAAAAACCAAAATGTCCTGCAGTAGGTAAGTGAATAAATAACCTGTGGTACAACTAGACTATGGAATATTACTCAGCACTACAAAGAAATGAGCTATCAAGCCATGAAAAGACATGGAGGAAACTAAAAAGCATATTACTAAGGGAAAGAAGCCAGTCTGAAAAGGCTACATACTGTATGATTCCAACAACATGACATTCTGGAAAACATAAAATTATGGAGACAAGGAAAATATTAGTGGTTGCCAGGAGTTAGCAGGGAGGGAGGGATGAGGAAGAAGAACATAGGATGTTTAGGGCAGTGAAAGTATTCTGTACAAAACTGTAACGCTAGATACATGTCCTTATACATCTGTCCAAACCTATAGAATGTGCAACACCAAGAGTGAAGCCTAATGTGAACTATGAATTCTGGGTGATGATGTGTCAATGTGGGTTCACTGATTGTAACAAGCTGTCACTCTGGGGTGGGATGTTGAGAGTGGTGGAGAATGTGCCTGTGTAGGGATGGGGGTATATGAGAACTCTCTGTATTTTCTGCTCAGTCTTTTGTGAGTCTAAAGTTGCTCTAATAATCAAAGTTTGTTAGTTTAAAAAATGCAGTGAGACATTGAAAATCAGAAGAAATATTGATTCACTAAAAAGAATGGATAACTGTTCAAATTCCTTGTCATATATAATCAGAGAGGAAACACTCCAAATTTATGGTTAATCCCAATGCCATTTACAACATGACATTATTACTGTGTGACCAGTTACATGTTCACTTGCTGCTGTGCAGTTGGCCCTGACACCATGATGAGACCATGCACCAAGCAGCTGATTCTGGGCCTTGCCTGACATTGAATAGAGAACAGTACACATGTCCTCTCTGGTACAATTAGATGTGAGCAGATGTGCATAGTCTTGGATTAAATAAAAGATCAGTGCAGAACTGCACTTTTTCTAATCAAGGATACACTTAGAGATGATCAAAAAATGTACAGAGATGGCAGGAAAAGATTTATTCCAAGGTCCATACAAAATAGTCAACAGCACACATGTTAATATGATAGTGGCCTCTAGTGTGTCCATTATCAAAATATAACAAACTTGCATGTGTCTGTTGTCTTACCACATATCAAAATTTATCTAGAAATATATATATATATAATGCACACTTTTTAAAGAAACTCAAAACAAATACGGCATTTGACCAGACTATGTTATCCAAGAGTTTTGTACAATGTGTGTTAGAACATGTCTGTTTTAATTCTGATACCCTCTTTCTCTTCCAAAATAGTGAATCATGCTCCTTTCCACAGCTGGAATAAATATATCATTCTGTCCTTTTTTAGTTTTTTATAATCATTATGTTGTTTATGTTTAATTCTAATCCATCTGAAATTTATGGCAGCATATGATGTGATGTCTGGATCAAAGAAAACCTTCACTCAACTGAGTGTTGTTACTTTCTCATTATTTATTAAAAAGTGATTCCTTCTTCATGCAATTAATTTTGATCTGACTATATATGTATTAACATCTTATAGTTGGAATTAATTTCCTGGTACCTCTGATACCACTGATTTGAAAAAACAAAAAAATCAGTGGTGTCTAGTTCAGTAATTGTTACTTTATAGTAAATTGAAATCTGGTAGGAAGAATCTAACATTGTTACCTTAAAAAGATCCTCCTACTGTTCAGCTGTTCTTCACTAGCAAATTGTGTAGTTCAGTAGTCTTTTGGGAGATTGAAAAACTCTAAATCACTATGTTTTAAAATCCAGATTTCCTATTGGCCTTACCTCAGATATAGTGGGGTAGACCACAAGAGCATACATATTTAGAAAGTTCTTCTATTTGTTACAATTTGAGAGTTTCCACCTTAGAAATTAA